GGGAACCGGGCCGGGGTCGGGGAGCCGGGCCCGCGGGGCTGGGAGCCGGGAGCCGGGGGTGGTCGGCCGGGGCCGCGCCTCCTCCCCCCCACACCCCTCCCCTTACCTGCTTCAGGCTTCCCGCGAATTAAATGTTCGCGGGAAGCAGGGGAGGGGGCGGAGACTTTGGGAGAGGGCGGAGTTGGGGCGGGGGCGGGGCCCCCGGGAGTGTCCTCCATTAGGAGGCACAAAATATGGTAACCCTAAGTAAGCAAGAATCAGTTTTGCTTCTGCCACTTTGAGATTTGTACTTAGGACATAAGTGGTGGCCTATTTTTAACATAACAGCAGATTACACTGCAGCAGAGTGAATAATTTATAGGTATGGTAGCACTATCCCAATCACAATACAATGGCAGCTTTTAGGCCTGCCTAATTATGGAGGGAGGCAGCATTCTCCGGCATTTTCCACTGAATTAGCAAAACAGCGGACGTGAAATGACTGATTCTTTCAAAAGCAGGAGTGCCGGGGTCAATGAACATTCAGAAGGACAGTGGGGCAAAGAAGATTTTATCCAGAGCTTTGTTAAAACTATGGAGACTCTTTGCGGTTTCAGCAGGCTACAGCATTAGGAGCAGGGTCATTATCTGTCTGCATTTGCTACTGCAAAATGATATTGAGAAGTCCCAGAAGGACAGATTAGATCTCCCTGGCTTATGCCACAGATGGGATAAAGAAATATTTCATTGGAAAGAAAAGGAGATTTGGAACTGAGGAAGTATTAGTTTCTGTAACACTAAGTTCTAAAAACGTCCTGAAAGAGGACATAACAAGACTCAGAGGAAGTTTGCAACACACTGGATATATGCAGTAATTGCTAAATATCCATTTCAGGAGCGTTAGGGTCAAGGTGAGATATAGCAACTAGAACCCAGCACTGAGAATCTTTAACAAATAAGCCAGGCCGCCAGATTCACTGTCTGTCACCCACCCCCTCAAAAGATTGAAATGGACTCAGAAGCGTATTAAGTAGACATGAAGGGACATTTATAACTTTTAACAAATATTCCCTCTCCTCTTCCCCTGACACTCTGCAGCCTGAAGAGCACAGTTGCTTTTCTCAGGCAGCAAATTCTCTGAACTGCATCCAGAGTTCAGTTCGCTTGAAATGTATAACATCTATTTCGGCTTTAATTGAATCTCGAAAAATTGGCTCTCATTTCCACTATTTTTCAAAGCTGTAGCATCCTATTTAATTTCTATATACAATGTGAATAAAATATCTTCATTATTATGACTTGAAATGGATTAAGACCAAGGGGCAATCAGATTCAGCAAGCTGCATGTTTTCTAGAACATATACTCTCGTGTTTTCATTTGTACAAGGTGTAATAGCAGGCCCTAATTTTGAAACCCGCTTATTCTTTGCTGTTATTTAAACTCACTTCTAAAGTACCACTCTTTGTGAAAGATCACGTGTCATCTCTGAAAAATATTTACGTTTGAAAGGGTGAGTTTCATCCATCATGACACACTTAATCAGAACGTATAAAGATGTAGATATTAAGGGACAGTGTCAATGCTTGCATGCTGCAAATTTGATTAACCCCTCAAAATTGTATTTGTCTACCAAATCCACATAATTGTTTGCAGGTTCCCCCTACCCCTCAAAAGAAATGTTTCCATGCTTAGATTTAGGAGTCACTTTAGACAGCTTATTGAAGGAGTCTGCCCAATGCACAGCAGCTAAAAATGTTAAAGGATAGAAACTAATACGGGAAATACTGTGCAGACTTTATATTGAATGATACCTAAAGTATTGTGTCCAAAAGCTGCACTGGAAAAATGAAAAAGGTTAGAAACCAGTACTAAATGTGCTTAAAGATCTGTCAGGGTTGACATATGAAGAGCGATCACAATAACTGGGATTATTTACGCTAGAAGAAAGAAGATTTGACTTGAAAGAAATATTCCAGAATTTGACTTGAAACCTGGTCATTCCTTTCTTTATATCCTGCCCTATGGTAATGCAAGAAAGAAGGCTCAATGGCTAAAATGTAAGGTTCCCTCTTTTCACTTAGACTCACCTTTCTAGTGTTGTCTTTACTCTACACTTTACTTTAGTGTGTCTTAAACTGGGGACTTGATCTTGCAGATGCTACCAACTATAATGCACACTACTGCAAATGGGCCTTTGGCATCAATGAACTACTCTTGATAATAAATGCTATGATCAGTCATATGTATCTGTAGTATGAGGCTCTTGGATTATAAGCTTTTGGGGGGATGGACCAGTCTTATTTTTTTCTGTATAGCACCTAGTGCATTATTGAGTGCTACATAAATAATTCCAAATAAAAAAATAGATCTTCCTGCAGCAGACTGTGGAACTCATTGCCACAGGAAGTCATCAAGTCAGATACAATGGCTGGATTTAAAATTACATGTGTAATTACATTTGCTGAGATAAAGACAATCAGATCTCATGCATAAGACCATAACATGAATGTCACAGGGATCAGAAAGGAGTCACCTATATGCAGCATTGCACATTTGGCATCAAGTAGTGAGTGGGCCAGGACTCAGGACTAGATTGACCTGTAACCTGCTGCAGTATGGCAGATTTTATTATGTTTATTCTATAAAAATAAGGTCAGTGGCTCATCATTTATGATTACCCTATTGCAACAACAACTGTGTGTTCAGCTAATGGAAATAGATGTCAATTGCTAGAGTTCATTCTAGAAAATAGAGAGATTTTTAAGAGTATAAAACATACTTTGACAGTGCCCTTTTAAACATAGCATATTAGAAATGAATAAATTCAAGCAAAAACCACCTCATTATTTTATATCAAAATAGATCCCTGTATACAAAGAGGCCACATAAAAAGGATTGTGCTATATTAGTTTAGGCAAAAAAAAAGTCACTTCTATTTAAATAATCAATATGTAAGAAACCAAAACCCAGTTCCCTGGAGAGGTGGGGAACTGCATTACAGAAATGTTTGTAGGGGAGGATGCCAGAGTGATCAGCTGAAAGCAGAAAGAAAAGCACAGCCCTCGCTTCCGATAGCTAGTTAAAACTATCTGTCAAGCAGCTGTTCTATGAGCCTCTGCTCCCAGCACACATGCCACTAACCAGACACTGCTCTGCTCCCCTCCACCCACCTCCCCACGCTCTCAGTACACACATTCCCTCTCCGTCGCCTCCTGTAACTTTATCAGGGGAAATAGTGTAGTTGCTGCTTCTTCTCGGTAGAAGTGTGAGTCAGATCAGAGACAGTGGCTGAAGACAATCTGGTGACTACATCACCCCCGCCTCCCTCCCCCCCCCCTTTTTTTAATCTGAAACACCAACTAAACCAGAGTTGCCTGTGAACACAACAGAATACATCCAACTAGTCAGATCCTAGTGTACTTGTCATGAAGCTCTACTGTACAAGAGGAACTTTGGATTACAAACCAGTGCATTCAACAGTCCTGCCATGAATGTGAATCTCTATATTTAGGTAGGTACTTGGTTTGGTTTCTCCCACCCCCACCCCGATTTTAATGAGAAGTGTAAACCTGGATCCTTCTGATTATCCCTGTGAATGATGTTGGTTTGGGTGCTGTAGTTTTGTGCATTAGCTGTCTACGGTGTGTTAGAATCTCTAGAAGTAATTATGGTTATGTTTCAACACATGCTTTCCTAACTGCCAATATTAAATTACAGATAAGATGGATGTTATCATTACTATTAAAATAGATGTATGAGATTAGCGTGACACTCCAGTACAACATGGAATTTATGTGTGGAGCTCAAAGTTGTAAAATGAATTGAGCATCACTGAATCTGTGACTGTTTTCACCATGTCCGTAAAAAGTGGTGGATTTTAAAGTATGTATATGCCACATCAAGAAAAGTGCTCAAGAGTAGGGGAAAATTATATAAAAAGTATATAATGTTTTCACCCCTCAGCTAAGAGTGAACTTGTATGTTATGTCTCCATGGCTCAGCAGTCACAGGTCAATAGTGTGAAACAATCCACTGAGTTTGGAGAAGTTGTCCTTGGTATTTCTACCTAGGCTACCACTGCCAGCCAGTTTGCCCTAATGAGAAGATAAGATAGTGGGGACCTAAATGGAAAGGAGAAATATTATAAATAAAAAATTTAAATTGTAAGAGATTGCAAGTAACCAAGCTAGTAGCTGGAGGATTTTCTTTTCTTTCTCTTTTTTTTTTTAAAGGCTGTTGTCACAAAAGCAGTTGCTGTACCAAGCCTATAGTCTATGAAGGTCCTAGTGCACTGGTGTGAGGTTTTAGGGAGAGAGAGCTTGAAACAATCTTTTGTGTAGCTGTAATCTGTGCATTTGAAAAAAACCCTTTTGTTTGTGTGCATTCTTTAAGGATCTGACTAGCTGTGCCAGGAAAAGTGTTTTAATCATTTTTATTACTGCATAGAAGCTTGTTTCTACCCAGAAGACATCTCAGAATTCCTTTCAATTTTGTTTTTCTATTTCCAGCAAGCTTTTATGGTATTATCAGTTTGAGAAAGGATTGACCCTCTTAAACTCTTCTCCCTTTAGCCTTGGGGCAGTGCCCAAGCCAAACCGGTGCAAACATACTGCACTTTTGCCTTGCACCACATTTTACCTTTACATGCTCTGTGTACGCTCAAAAGCTTGTGTCTCTCACCAACAGAAGTTGGTCCAATAAAAGATATTACCTCACCCATCTTGTCTGGTCACAAAAGGTCATTCTAATCCTGTCTTCCTATCCTAGCTGATCTTTAAACTTTTTAAAAGGCTGTTTGGCAGCTTTCTGGAAGATAGCGTTTGTTTTTGTTTATTTGTTTTGCCATTTTGAAGGTTAAATATAAAGGTATTTGACAAAACTGCACATTTTCAAACATCAGTTTTGCATTATTTAATCCGACTATGCATTTTGCCATGCTGATCTTAATTACTGTGTTTTAGCTGCTGTCACACAGCAGGAGACTGCAGGAAACACTCCCAAATTGGAAGCATTATCATCAGTATTCTCCAACAGCTAATTAGTATTCAAGAACAGATCTCTCGCATTGAATAAACAAAAGGCAGGGGTGTGTCCAATGAGGGTGGCATTGAGGGATGAGGAAGTTGCTTCCACTGGAAAAACTCCACTGTGCTAGCTGCCAGTCATAGCTGAGAAATCTCTTAAAAGTGGTTCTTCATAAGAGGCAGAATATGCTGCACAAGGCTACTGTGGTCCACATTGTCTTGTCCATATTCAAGCAGGGCTCCCTACCGAAAACAACGGGGAGTTCTGCTTTAAATAAATAGGAAAATATGGCAAAATAACTCAACACTGATGGTTTCAGAGTAGCAGCCGTGTTAGTCTGTATCCTCAAAAAGAAGAACAGGAGTACTTGTGGCACCTTAGAGACTAACAAATTTATTAGAGCATAAGCTTTCGTGGACTACAGCCCACTTCTTAGTCCACGAAAGCTTATGCTCTAATAAATTTGTTAGTCTCTAAGGTGCCACAAGTACTCCTGTTCTTCTTTCAACACTGATGGGTTAGAGTTAAATAAATGATACACCGTAAAATACAACAAACATACCACAATTTGTTCTGTAAATTCAAAATCCCTGCAGCCTGCAAAGGTGGGGGCACTGCCTACCATACTCGTCACTACAGATTAACTTTGACAACCTGGACTTTAAGTCTTTGAAAAGCCACATATTGCTTAAGATATATAAAAATTGTTACTTGACACTGAATTACCTTTTTGTATCCAGGCAACATTTTCTTGACAGTGTGTTCTGGTGTTTGGAGCAGTGGACTGAGACTCAGGGCTCTTGGGTTCCACTGCTGATTCCACCAAAGGCTTCCTCTGAAATTTTCTGTGTCACAGTTTACACCACTGTAAAATGAGAATATAGGGATGTTATGAAACTGAATTAATATTTGTTAAGCACTTTGGGGTCTTCAAAGGAAAAAGACTCTTCAAGGAGCCTGTGGGTGACCATCCCAGCATATGCAAGTAAAATGGTTTGCTGCTGTTACTGCTTTTTGTATCAAAGTGTGTGACAGTTTCATTCATCTGCAAATGCTCAAAGTAACAGCTGCACAAAGCCTGGCCTTGATCATATGCTGATACATCTTATTATATTATGCTGAGTGGAACTGCTAGCACTGTGTTCATGAAACTTAAATAGCAGCCTTTTGCCCTGCATATAAACCTGATCAACAGGATAGATAATTTTCCCAATACATACTGACTCAGAAATGGGCCACAACTGCCTTCTTGCCTTCTAACTAGGAAGGAGTAGGGATAAAAGTAAAGCAAGTATTTATATGCACACCACTTCTTCCAGAAAAAGAGGGAAGCCTGATCTGGCTTTATGCTTTATGTGCAGCAGTGGTTAGCAACACTGTACACTCAGGAACAACTCGTTTACTGGGGTAATTTTCGTCTGCCAAACTAAGCTGCTGGCTGAGAGAGAGACAGGCAGCTTGTGTTTGTGGTCATTCAACCAGCAAAGAATACCAGCTGAAAATGGACAATGAAGGAACTGAATGTAGCAATGCCTTAGAAGCATGCACACACAGCTGGTTCATAGATGTAGATGGGGATGTGCAGTAGTGTCATACAGGCTGTTGTCATAGTTATATAGTTACTGGATGATTCTATTAGTGAAATGCTAAGCATTCTGGGTGTTTTCCCTTTTAGCAGGAGCTTGGTTTCTCAATGAGATTCACTCTGCTTCACTTCTCATCACCCGTCTCATGATTTCTTTAAAGGAAATTTTATTGGTTAGAGAATCTGAATATTATAATGAAGAAAAGGGCCAGATTTGCCTCTTGCTCATGCCAGTTTGCACAAATATAGTACTAGTGACTTCAACAGAGTTATTCCCGATTTGCAACAGTGGAAGCCAGCAAGGAGAATCAGGCCACAATGAGTTAAAAAGGTCTTTTGATGAAAGTCCAAATACAACTCTACCCCGATATAACATGACCCAATATAACATGAATTTGGATATAACGCGGTAAAGCAGTACTCGGGGGGGGGGGAAGCTGCGCACGCCGGTGGATCAAAGTATGTTCAACATAACGTGGTTTCACCTATAACGCATACGATTTTTTTTTGGCTCCCGAGGACAGCATTATATCGGGGTAGAGGTGTACTCTGGATTTACACTGGGAAGAAACCCCACTGATGGCAGTGGACTGACCTCAGATTTACATTGGTGTGAACTGAAAGCAGAACATAACCTCCTTCCAGAGGTATAAATCCCAGACCGAACGCACATCCACAGCTGTAAATCCCTTTGGAAGGTGGGTGAGTGGATGGTGGTGGTGAAAAGCTCTCTCAGGCCCTGCAGTACTGCAAGACCAGTGGCTGTCCGGTGCTCTCCCTGCAGTGAAGGGTGCTGGTTGGGGGAATGTGGCTAGAGCACTCAGCAGATAATGTTTTCATACACTGAAACCCTGTCAGCAGGACACCTATTGAGCTCTAAGCGAGCAGCTGCCTGTTTCATTAGCAGTAAGTGATGCAGCCAGGAGAGTTGTAGGACAGAGATCTTTACTGAGCAGAGGGGCCTTTGCTTGTCTGGTGGCAGCCTGGTGACCCGTTTCCATTCCTGATTTTTCAGGTCTCACACCAAACTAGTCTATCCTGAAACTGACTCTCTTTCTCCAGTCCAACCCCCTCATACTATAGTCTCCTTTCCTGGTACAGCTTGCACGAGAAGATAGAGGGCAGCAATGCAAACACCACATATCTTCCCCTGGGGGTGAATGGTGCAGCAGCTCTCCCTGCAGCAGGAATGTGGGGTGGGGGGGGAGGAGGGGAGAGGAGGAGGGGCTGCAATTTCCAATTCCTTATGGCAGCAGAGTAAGTCAAGTCCACTTTGGTATCAACTGCTGCTCACCATCAATAAAACAAACACTCACTGCAAAGAAAAACACACGCCGCCTTCTGTACATAGTAATAATCAGTACCTTGCAAATATGTGTGGTGAAGGACCAGCCCCTGCTCCTATTGAAGTCTATGGTAGTGCAGTGGGAGCAGAATTGGGCCCCCAAGGCAGTTTCCATGGGATTTAGGTTCAGAGCCCTGAGAGTGAAAGTACAAATTGCAGCTTTTTAAACCCTTTGATATTGAAGTGAGGGGCGGTTCTGAACAATGCACAAGCCCACTCATGCCTGATGCCAGATTAATTAAGGAGTAGCAGAAACACAACCAAGATCTTGCTGCACTCGGGCATTGTTTAAAAAGCAACCACCAGCACAGACTGTCTAACAGGAAGTTATGGAAAAAAGCAGGCAACCCAAACTCTTCATTAATTGCTTTTGGTACTGCAGTCTGCTACCAACAATTACAGGTGCTTGCCTTGGTCTTTTTTACATAAGCTCTGGGATTAATGCCCTCCTTAGGATGTGAATTCTTTAAGCATGAGCAACAATAACCAAAAAAAAAAGAGCTAATTTATTTTTTTTAATTGCCTTTGTTGTTGTTGTTGTTGTTGTTGTGTTCTC